TATGCTCGTGTTCACACACCTCTTGACTTCCCATCAACAATAATCTCCTACTACTTCTACTATGCTCGTGTGTATACTATGTTCGTGTTCACACACCTCTTGACTTCCCAGCAACAATAGTCTCCTACTACTACTCTGCTCGTGTTCACACACCTCATCACTTCCCGTCGCTGTCTCATCCGCACTCGCCAGCGCACTCACAATGCTCTCCGCACACGGCATACGGGACACCGCCTGGTTGCTAAGTAACGGCAGACACTCCCACGGAAGGTGCTGCACGCTCTTGTCCAGCATGAGTATCACGTGGTCACGCTCGACGCTCTGTGGCCCACCCATCCCCTCTGCAGAATCACGGAACGCCCTCTCCAGCGTGCTTGTACGCGTACGTGTACGTGTGCTGGTACGTACGGCCATGGGTGGGGGTGTAGGGGTGTGGGTGGGTGGTAGGGTTGTAGGGTTCCGCGTATGCGTATACGGTTTGACCGTTCTCCGCTGCACACTCGCGCGTGAGTCATTTGAGGGGGGCGTGCTCGGATCTCTCCCGGCAACACGGTCCGTTGCCATGACAACCACACCCGCTTTGTCGCACACGTGCTGTAGGAATGCTCGGAGTTCGGTGATGAGCGCATCCCCATTCGAGCGTTCTGAATGGCGGAGGGGAGCGGGTTAGAATCACACATGCGAATAGCGCTACCAGCCTAGCACCATTAATACATGTTACAGAATTAGCTTCATTAATACATTTTTCAGAATTGGATGTGATTGCGATTGTGAGGTGTACTCGAGGAGCCATGACAACCATCTGCAGCAGATAAGCACAGGGCATATACATGAAGAATACATATACGCTACCTACGCCATGCAGCACCACAGCGGTTTAATGATACATAACAAGTCACATGTCCGCCAGGGACTGCACATATTCAGGAACACATGTATGTAACGTGATGTTGAATCTAAATGTTGTGCATATTTATATACGTGTAGATATGCTAATGCACACTATATATTACATGTGTACACAAGTCCATCTGTGGGAGTATCCATTCAGAATCACTAGTTGGTAGGTAGTTGATTGCCCTCACCTCATACGCCATTGGGAACAGTACTAGACCGATACGATAGTACACATCATGGATGTTGGGCAAACGTATATGAGTGACTTTGTATCTCCACAAACCCGACAGGGAGATGTTCATAGTCACAGTTAGTACCATACACTCTACAACTAACTACGTTACGTGTATGTGAGAGAGGATGACCTTGGTCAATGCAGATTATTCGTGCGCAGCTGTGTGTTGTAGCTTGAAAGCTCAACTCGCAACTCTTGAGCTGAGCTCCGTGACACGCTTACCTGCTGACTAAAGCACACATAGCCACAGACACATACACGTACACAGACACGACACAGACACAGACACAGACACAGACACATATAGACACAGACACAGACGCAGACACATACACATATAGACACAGACACAGACACATACACATATAGACACCGACACAGACACAAAAGCATATACACTACAGATACAGATACAGACACAAACATATACACAACAGACACAGACACCGACACAAACATATACACTACAGACACAGATACAGACACAGACAAACAAGACACATACATACACACACATACACAGCCACTCCCAGCACACCACCACGTACAAGCAATACTGGGATTCTATTTATAGAACGCAGAGCAGGTCACCACATAGCCCCGAAGTTCGGCAGGCGACCTAAGCACACGTATTGGGGTGCGGACTGTGGGTGAAGGGTTCAGATCTTACCTAAAAGAGGCTCGCCGGCAGTCCTGGATATTTGTCCACTATCGCTCGACGGTTCAGGGCTGGTTGACGCGTTTTCCACACGCCTTACCTCCCCTGCTAGTGTATTGGCAGCGGGTTCGCCCGTCTGTCTCCTCCCGGATAATTGTCGGCTACCAGATGTCTGGGCTGGCTTCGCGTGCACAGGCCCATCGCCTTCTTCTGGCTCTCTATTGGCCTCAAGTTTGGTGTTTCGGGTGCACCTTGTCCCATTTATTTTGGGCTTAGGGCCCTGCTCGGTGCAACTACAGTCCACTTGTGCACCTGATAACGGCAGTTGCGGGTACAGTGTGGTTTCGATATTTTCGCGTACCATTTCGATATCATCGTCACACACCGACTCTGTGGAGAACACACAGCCGTTGATTTCTTCTCCTGCCAGATCAGCGCTCGACAGATTCAGAGCCTTCTGATTGGGCGTGGACGCAGCCTTCCAATTAAAAGCCTCTGTAGAGCACGATCTTTTCTTAAAGCTTGATTCTGATTGGTCCGCATCGAATGTCGCACCACCCGCACGCCCGTGCACAATGTACTGCAGTGCTTGTGTGATCTCAATCTCGCTCAGGAGCCCATGGGAATCAACCAGAATCTCACAGAGCTGTAATTTGGCTGCTCTATTTTTAGCCGGAGCTGTCCTATTAATAGAGTGGGCCCCTTCCGCGGAATTGGTGCGTTCAGAGTGTCTGTGACCACCCATCTGCCCTATGACTTCATTCACGCGGTCGCAAAGCTCGGTCCCGGCCGTTGCTATGGCAACGCGTTGCTCAGCATCACACCGGGACCCAAGTAGCAGCCCTGAAACAGAGGTATAAGACGCGCAACAGAGATCAGCCATCGCGTATGAATAAGAGGCGGACATAAGCATTGAGGGGTATTCAAGTGTGTGTGAAGTATCAGTCGGCGTATACACTGAGCATAATAACACACACACTCTCCTCTGTTTGGTTGGATATGGAGACACTTGACAGCGTGTGCTTGGGAATAAGATTTTTTTCTTCCTCTGTTTGGTTGGATATAGAGACACTTGACAGCGTGTGCTGGGGAATAAGATTTTTTTTCTTCCTCTGTTTGGTTGGATATAGAGACACTTGACAGCGTGTGCTTGGGAATAAGAACACACACTCCTCCGTTTGTTTGGATATAGAGACACTTGCCAGCGTGTGCTTGGGAATAAGAACACACACTCCTCTGTTTGTTTGGATATAGAGACACTTGCCAGCGTGTGCTTGGGAATAAGAATACACACTCCTCTGTTTGTTTGGATATAGAGACACTTGCCAGCGTGTGTTTGGGAATGTACTGTGTATGTGCGTGTGCGTGAAGTGTATTCTGCCGGTCATGTCCTCAAAGGGGACGTGGGCATGACATCCAGCCACTACATCGACATGTACATAAACATACACCGACACAAAATCACACACACACGTACACGCTTTGCCCGTGCATGAAACATAGATGCACGTATACACGTACACGTACTTATGAACGTACACGCGCACATACATTTAAACACACATATCCAAATACACAAAAACGTACACGCACATATACATTTGCACACACACATACACGCACACGTACATATAAAAATACACGCACACATACTCATTTTTAGGTATACTCATACACGTACATATACACGCACACATACACGTATATATAGATGCAAACCTACACGCACATACACACACACGCGCGCACACGTACATTTACAAGTACATACACACGCAACACACCTTGCCACGGGCCTAGCCACTGTGTCTGCATGTCACTCACAAGCGCCTTGAGCCTGTCATCTAAGGCACCTCACTACACACACACAAACACGTACACGTAGATATAGACATAGACATTGACATAGACATACTCGTACATACACACGCAACACACCTTGCCACGGACCCAGCCACTGTGTCTGCATGTCCCTCACAAGCGCATTGAGCCTGTCGTCTAAGGCCGCCCGTGCACCCCACCACTGCTTCTTCTGCGCCGTGGTTGTGATGTGTTCTGTGCTTTGCATAGTCTTGTGCATGGTGTCCATGACGGCAGCAAACTCGGTTAGGATGTCCTTGTGTGTGTGTGTGTATGTGCTTGGGTGTGTGTTGGAGTGTGTGTGTGTGTTTGTGGCTGGTGCTGCTGCGTTGCTGGGCTGGTTGTTGGGTCTGTGGGTGAAAGCAGAGCGCAGGTGAGAATGCCAGGCGAGCCGTCTGCTGAGTGTGTGACAGGTTGAAAAGTATATACATACACACTTACACACACACGCCCATACACACACACATACACATACACACATACATACACACATACATATACATACGTACATACACACATACATATACACATAAATCCATATACATGTCCACATCAAATACACTTGAAAGCATATATACAAACCCAATACACATACAAACAAATATACATGCACACATACACTTGAAAACATATATACATACCCAATGATAAATGCACATATACAAGCAAATGCGTGATTAAGTGCACACACATACATACACACACTTGCACTCAATAGGGAACATACGGCAAGTAGCTGGGAAAACACTCCAGTTCAACGGAGACAGGTTCGCCTGCCGCACTCGCACGCGTAATGGCTAAGGTGTGGGTGTGTGTGCCGCTGGTCTCTTCGGTGGCTATGAGTGACAGGGTACATGTGGTCCAGTTGGAGGGCAACTGGGCCAGAACCTGCGAGCGAGGATAACAGAAACGGGTACAACCCACACCCAAAATAAGGACAACAGGACAGGTGAGGGAAGGTGTCGCACGTACAAGCAAGGCGTTCCGAGTCAGCTGCATCGGATGATACAGCCTGCGTACTAGGCCAAATACCGGTGCAGCTATGGGTAGCAACCGGAAGTACTACGGACCACCAGGCTACAGGGAAATGGAATGATACCAAATGGTGACGAGCGAGATGGGTTGTATGTGAGTATGCACGGGATTATGTGAATAGCCAGGGGTAGATGATCAGAGAAGTGTGTGTGTATGTGTAATTAGCTATGAACAAGTGTTTCTAGTAATAAATATACGTATATACAAGTATATGTATACATTTGTATATATATATATATATATATATATATATATATATATATATATATAGTTAGTAGTAGTATAGTA